ATATTTTTATATTTTTTTTTTTTTTTTTTTTGGTCCTTTGAGGGCTTTCCTCCTTCCCTTCAGCTCCAGGTTACTCTATTTTCCGAGGGCAGGCAGGAGTGTCGCCTGGGCTTTGATGTGGCCTCTTCTCTGGGCTTCCTACAGATGCCTTTATGTGAAACAGAACGTTAAAATCCAAATGTGCCTGCTCCGCAGGTCATTTTTCATTCTTTATGTGCAGTGTCAAACATATTGCAGAGCTTTCTCCTTGCCAAAACCCAGAAGGGAAGGGGGCTTGGAAGGTGCAGGCAAGGGGGAGTTGGCTGGCGGTGAAATGTGTGCTGCTTCCTTTGGGCCTCTCCCCGACTCGCTGTTGCACACGGTGAAACTGAAACTCCAGTGACTTCACCCACGTCTGCTGAAGCTGAAGAAAACTTGATATTTCTCACTTACAGGATACTTTAGTCCATATTTGCTTCTCGCCAAGCTTTTAAAAAACCCCCCATGAAACCCAAACCCACAACTAATACCAAATCAATCCCCCTCTTTTCCCCACCACTAGAGCTTAATGCAATACCTGGATTACCAAATCAACCCGTTTTGCACCCTTCTCTCTGGATCTGGGCTTTGTGGACTACTCCTCCGGTTTGCTGTCACACTTGCAGGAGAGGATGTGTAGTGTTGCTGAAATGCAAGCTGCCATAATATTGTATTAGCGTGTTGGCAACACCAAGCATTCAAATGGTGTGAGAACCTCCTCCAGAGTGAAACGATGGCTGTGTTGCTTTTGTTAGGCATAATTTAAGCAGTTTCTGAGCTAAACGAAGATGCATGTCGTCCTTTTAGGAAATTCCGTGCTTGAGGGGCTTATTTTATTGTCGGGGACGTGTTTGTAGTTCATAAAAGTGTGCAGCTGTTCTTTGCACGGTGAGAAGCTTTAAGTCGTCATGGGAATCTCTCTAACTGCCTTTCACAGATCTGTGGGTGGTGGGATAGAAAAAATAAGGAGGAATAATCTTTAATAGAGATGGGCTTGAACTAAAACCACGATATAAACCTCAGAGAGGGGCTTGGATTTGGTTTTGCTGCTGAAATTCCCTTCTCTCTTAACAGGGTGAATCCAGACTAGCTCAACCTCAGGAAGGTTTACCTTCAGAACAGGGTTTTGAACACCCCAATCTGGGCGCACCGTTTCTGTCTGTATATTTCAGTCGGGGGGGGGGGGG